TTATACTTTTAAAAGTCGTGCTAGTTTGATTAAGTTGTTTTCTTTGAAGTCACTTGCTTCCTTGCTTCCAACACAGATTCTTTTATTTATTTTATTTTACTCTTTTGTTCAAAAATTAATCAAACTTTGAACAGTGTAACAATTTTTTTTAAAAAGCAACATATTAATAATACTAAACCTATCTTTTACCTATACTAATTGTTTTCTTATTACGATAGCAATTAGCCACTAATGTTTTATATTAAAGTTGGATGTATAGAGAATTTTAACTTGGATTTGCCATCCAAAGTATAAAGATCATAATAGAAAATGATTACGTACCGATGTGATCATATTTAAGAACTAATTCGGAAGTTTCGTCGATGGTGTGATTATATATTGCTTTATATCTAACATCCAATCGTATTAAGTCTAGCTAAAGTCATACTACTGGTTTTAAAGAGACTATTCAGAGATGCTTCAGTTGGATTATTATTCATTAATATAGACTATTATTATTATTTTTAATTGAAATAGCTTAGAATCTCTTAAGCTATTGGAAAAGGTAGACTCTGATTTTTCTCGAGATCAATTAGTATTAGCATATTAGGTGACTCTATCAGTTCAAACGATCAATAACAAAATTTCCATGTAAGTCTTAAAAGAGTACATGTAATTTATGCGTAACCACATGTTTAACAAAAAAAGAAAACTAAAACACGTTTTATAATTTAAAAACAAGTGATTTACTAATTATTAGTATTAGTTATTAATGGTATACCCATACCCGTCGACTTTTCTCATGTCAAAACAAAAACAAGAAAGAAATAGTATATTTTTGGGTCAAAACATGCATTTCACACACTATGTATTTTGGGGTCACACCACACAACACATTCATGCACCATTTGAAATTCAACTTTTAGTGGGGATCTTCATCATATCTTCTCCCATAACCCTCCATACGAACGAGAGAACTCTCCACACCCCTTGAAATATTATAATTATTTAACTTTAACGTCTATGAACAAACCATACCATACCACTTTCTTTATTAATAATAAAAATTTAAAGTAAAAATAGTTTCTCTTTTTTGTTTGAACAAATAGTTTCTCTCTTTTAAACTAGTAAATCACGTGTAAATTTCGTGGAAATGCAAAACAAAACATTAACATTGCAAAACAAACATTAACATTAACATCGGGAATGCAAGGAGCATGTACGTGTTTGGGCTTAAAGCCCACACAGAAGTGGGCCTTTAGGATAATGGTTTAGTATAGATTTTTAAAGTCGTGTTTTTATTTTAAAAAATCCTTCTTCTCCGACGAAGTTGCTGAATCTCCGAGATCGGAAATGATGGGATCAACGTTGCTAAGGAAGAGATGTTTATTGCTAAGAGCGAACTGTTTAGTCCTCCGATCTTATTCCGTTCATGTTGAGAAAATTTCGGACGCATCAGGTGAAATAGCGGGAATTCTCAACCAGGTGAACTGGCTTGACACTCTGGTATCTTCGAATCTTTCGACTGAGATAAACCCAGACGTGGTTCTCTCCGTTTTACGATCCAGACGCGTCGATGATCCCGCTAGGCTTTTCAGTTTCTTCAATTGGGTCGATTCTCAGAAAGTTACGGACCATAAACTGGATTCGTTTTCGTTTCTCGCCTTGGTTTTGTGTAACTTCGGTAGTTTTGAGAAAGCTCATAGTGTTGTAATCCGTATGACTGAGAGGAAATGGCCTGTAGCTGAGGTTTGGAGTTCGATTGTGAGATGCTCGCAAGAGTTTGCGGGAAGGACTGATAACGGAGTTCTATTTGGGATCCTGATTGATGTGTACATTGAAAATTGGTTATTAGAGGAAGCTGTGTTTGTGTTTACTAGCTCTGTGGATTTGGGATTGGTTCCTAGTTTGGCACGATGTAACCATCTGTTGGATGCGTTATTGAAGAAGAATCGTCAGGATTTGTTTTGGGATGTGTATAATGGGATGGTTGAGAGAAATGTAGTATTCGATATTCGGAGTTATGAAATGGTGACTGTTGCACATTGCAGGGATGGGAATGCTCAGTTGGCAAAAGGTGTACTTCTTAGAACCGAAGAGAAATTCGGGAATGCAGCTTTGAATGTGTATAGCTTGGTGCTCGAAGCTTTGTGTAAAAAAGGGGATTTGGATGAAGCACTTGAGCTGAAGAAGTTGATGATTTGCAAAGGTTTGGTGATTTCGAAGCAATCCTACAACATACTGGTAGATGGGTTGTGTAAGAGGCAGAGACTAGAAGATGCTAAATCGCTGCTGGTAGAGATGGATAGTATTGGTGTGTATCCTGATAATGTTTCTTATAGTATACTGATTGATGGTTTACTAAAGGGCAGAGATGCAGATGCTGCAAACGGACTCGTTCATGAGATGGTTTCTCATGGACTTAAAATCGATCCTAAGATGTATGATTATTTCATCTGTGTGATGTCTAAGGAAGGGGCGATGGGCAAGGCGAAGGCTCTATTTGATGGGATGATCGCATCTGGAGTGTCACCAGGTGTACGAGCTTATGCTAGCTTGATCGAGGGATACTTTCGAGTAAAGAATGTTCTCAAGGGTTATGAGTTACTCGTTGAAATGAAAAAGAGGAACGTTGTCATATCTCCGTATACTTATGGCACAGCGGTAAAAGGCATGTGTTCTTCTGGGGATCTTGATGGAGCTTATAACATTGTGAAGGAAATGGGTGCAAGTGGTTGCAGACCCAATGTTGTTATATATACCACATTGATCAAAACCTTTCTCCAGAAAAGTAGGTTTGAAGATGCAGTGAGGGTGTTAAAAGAAATGAAAGAACAAGGAATCGCACCAGACACCTTTTGCTACAATTCTCTTATAATTGGTCTTTCAAAGGCTAAAAGAATGGATGAAGCAAGGTCTTTTCTGGTTGAAATGATCGAGAACGGGTTGAAGCCTGATTCTTTCACCTATGGAGCTTTTATCAGTGGATATATAGAGGCAGGGGAATTTTCATCTGCAGATAAGTATGTGAAAGAGATGCTTGAATGTGGCGTAATTCCAAATACGGTTCTTTGCACGGGTTTGATCAATGAGTATTGCAAAAAGGGGAAAGTAATAGAGGCGTGTTCAGCATTCAGATCCATGGTTGAACAAGGGATCTTGGGGGATGCTAAAACATACACTGTTCTCATGAATGGTCTTGTTAAAAATGGTAAAGTAAATGATGCCGAGGAGATTTTCCATGAAATGTGTGGAAAGGGTATTGCACCTGATGTATTCTCTTATGGTACTCTCATTGATGGATTTTCTAAGTTGGGAAATATGCAAAAGGCTTCTAGTATTTTTGATGATATGATTCAAGAAGGTTTGACTCCTAATGTTATTATATACAACATGTTGCTCGGTGGCTTCTGCAGATGTGGTGAAATTGAAAAAGCTAAAGAACTGCTTGATGAAATGTCTGGTAAAGGTTTTCCCCCAAATGCAGTGACTTACTGTACAATTATAGATGGATATTGCAAATCTGGGGATCTAGCTGAGGCTTTTCGGTTATTTGATGAGATGAAACTAAATGGATTAGTTCCTGATAGTTTTGTGTACACAACACTTGTGGATGGGTGTTGCAGATTGAACGATGTGGAAAGAGCTATAACCATCTTTGAGACAAACGAGATGGGTTGTGCTTCTAGTACCGCCCCTTTTAATGCTTTGATCAATTGGGTTTTTAAGTTTGGGAAAACAGAATTAAGAACAGACATGATAAATCGGCTAATGGATGGGTCGTTCGATAGGTTTGGCAAGCCCAATGATGTAACATACAACATTATGATTGATTATCTATGCAAGGAAGGAAACTTGGAAGCTGCAAAAGAGCTCTTTCACCACATGCAGAAAGTTAATCTGACGCCGAATGTTATAACTTACACATCTTTTCTAAACGGGTATGATAAAATGGGTAGAAGATCTGAAATGTTTTCTGTATTTGATGAGGCGATTGCTGCAGGTATTGAACCAGACAACATAATGTATAGTGTAATCATCAATGCTTTCCTGAAAGAAGGGATGACGACAAAAGCACTTGTGTTTGTGGATCAAATGTTTGCTAAGAACGCTGTTGGTGATGGGTGTAAGCTAAGTATTTCAACATGCCGGGCTCTACTCTCTGGTTTTGCTAAAGTGGGAGAAATGGAGACAGCTGAGAAGGTTATGGAGAACATGGTTCGACTCAAGTATATTCCTGATTCTTCGACTGTTATTGAGTTAATTAATGAAAGTTGCGTTTCCTCAAACCAAAGAGTGGAAGCTGAAGCAGCTCCATAGATTTAAGATTGAAAGCCGAAAGCAAACAAGCTTCTTCTTTTTCTTTGTGGCTAAAAAGGAGTCTGCTGACTGAGTTTGGTTTACGGCAAATTTCTTGGCCTACCTGAAAATTGCTAAAGGTTTGCAATCGTGGCAAACGGTATCAGTAATCCTAACCTGAACTATTCTCTGAAAGCTTTATCCTCTCACTTTTGATAGTCTCTACTCGGTTTCAATATTTGTTTATTTTTCTGTCGTGAAGAATATGCAGTTGCTGTTCCTGGAATAGTTAGCGTCTGCTCATACTCTTCTGGACCAATTCATTTACTTCAGAACCGATTTGCCTTCAGCTACACATGTTGGATTCCATTTGATTTACTTAGCAGCAGTTTCCATCATGATGACCACATTGAGAAATTGACGATGTATGTGGGAGACGCATCTGGGTGGTTGATTTTGCAATTTCCTTGGTTTTTGCAGGCTAGGGGAAAACCCAGTTCAAGAACTAACAAAATCCTCTAGATCATGTCTAGCGTCAGTCTTACATTTTCAGCTTTGTAAAAGATTTTATGTATTGAATCGACAATGATGATCAAATTATATCAAGTTCTTTAGTCATCTGTATCAAAAGATGATAATGCAGGATAGATGTGAATCACGAAATCTGCCTGGTGATGAAGCAAGTTCTTTAATGGGGAAACAACAGATTCTGTCTGAAAACATAAAGAAGAACACAATTGGTGTCTTTGCCTTTCATTAAAAAAAAATAAAGATCTCATAGTGAAACCAAAACAGAGGTTTTCATCTTACAGAACATACAACCCCATAAAAAGACCTTATGTACACCATGAGTATAAACAAGTATATCAACCTAACAATCAAAAAAGAAAATCTACATGTATTTTCTACGCTCTTCATGAACAAATCGCCCGATTATATGGGCAATAAAAAAGAAGAATATGAAACCAACTAAAACGTGGAAAATGGCGAAAGTAGTTCAGCTGAGCTGAGCAACACTCGTGCTATACCATTCTGCTTTCACACGATAAGCTAATGGAATGGTCAAATTAGATTCATCACTGATATCATCTTTTGGAGTCTGTTAATAAAGCAATCAGTTCGCTGTCATTGAGGTCCGTCTGTGAAGCATATTTGACCGGTGTGTTACCATCTTTATCCACAGCATTTGGATCTCCTCCCCTGAAATTGAATCATTATATCAGACTTCTAATTCAAATCCATGGTTTATAAGACCAGTACTACCAAATCTCTAGATGTTATATGGAGTTTACCTCATAAGTAGCAACCTTGCAATTGCATATCTCCTGCTGATGATACAATGATGAAGTGGAGTCCGACCTTTTGAATCTGTTGCATTTATTTTTGCTCCATACTGAAGCAATAGTTCCACCATACCGATATCCGCAGAAAGACAAGCAAGGTGAAGCAAAGAACAGTCATTTGAAGTTTCTTCTCTGACCATACTCTCCCCGGTCCCTCTTGACTGAGAATATCCCTCTGGATTCTCTTGAAATTCTTCTTCAATGCTCTTAAATTTGGCTTCAAGGGTTTCCTCCTTCGCTTCCAGTTGCATCATCTTTGCTAAGGGCATAGACACAGTGTACGATGCTTGTCCACGCAGAGCATTCACATCTGCTTCAGAGCAGACAATGTGTCTGTAAACTGATTTCTTGTCATTGGCACGGACATTCTCCCATATCTCTTGGAAAACTGCCTGGAAATGCTGACTATCTATTGCTTTGCGGACAAAAATCCTCTCTGAGTACTGTAATTAGTCATTATATTAGCAATGGAGGACATGATATCTTTTAAAGCTTTGCTTATTAACTTACAGAGCGACATATACCTTCGCGTGGATGAACAACTCTTTCACAGAAATGGGATCATTGAAACCAGGCTTCCTTACGACCAACTTTCGTGGTCGATCTGACTTGGGAGTGCTGATAAATAAGAAATTTTAAGACTGTAAACACATGTACGACATAGTTTTGTTCTTCTCCTAATCACAAGAACTTAAGTTACTTACCCCGAAGGCCTACTAGCACTGGAAGATCTACTCTCCGAGTTCAACAACTCCTCCCAAACTGAGTTTACATACACATTACCTAACGACTGGAATAGTGTCAAAACTGATGGTTCCCATACTTTAACATCAAGAGTGAGCGATCTGACCTGCACAACAGGGTTGGATATTTATGCCAAATTTAGAAATACTTAAAAAATGGAAACATGTTAGTTTCACGCCTTCATCTTTGTGAAAAGAATGAAAAAGATTTATGCTGGACGACGCATAGTTCGGATGGCAAACCTTTGAAATGTGAACACCAAGGTTGCGATGGATACCAGAACACTCAATACAAATAAGGACACCAAGGTTCAAAGAGGCCCAATCAGGTTCAGGAGCACCACAGTCTGCACATTTCTCATTCCCCAATACTCTTGTCAAGACATCAATTGGCTTTTCAGTCTTTACCATATCATGTTGCTGCAAGCACCCTGAAAACCTTGAACGGTTTCCTCCAGTCATGGGATTTTCCACTGTGGACTCTCCACTTTCTGCCTGTTCGATATCATATGGATCTGCTAAAGAACCAGAATCACTTGCAGAGAAAGTATCACCTCCGTCCACAGTAGAAAGACGCTGGTTGTATTTCAGGTAAATGTTATGTTAGTCAACAATGAAAATGGGTCAGAGATGGAATAATCAGCAGTAATACCATATAAATTCTAACCATGATTGCTCTTTCAGGTGTCTGGAAACTCAACAAAGAAGCAATTACTCCAGTTATTTTTTCGATCCAGTCCATCTGATCCTGTGCATTCTCTGCCTACATCAATAATGAAAAGAATACCAGATGAAAAAATGACCTGAATCCTAATAGCAGTTTCGTTAAGTTTCAATAGGTAAAAGAAACTGAAGATTGTTTACTTGCAAACATACCTGCAATGTATAAACTTTTGTTGGTGAAATTATTCGAAAGCAGAATCTTAGATCGGTCTGATCTGCATCAACTTTGATTGTTGAGGTCAGCAGATTGACGGTATGACGTGCAACTGGTTTTTCATCGTGCACACCACCGTGATAATGAGAAGACAGCCACCGACTTAGCAGCCCAGGACTGTTTTCTGAAGTCATATTCCTGTGAACAACAGAGCGACTACCATTTCCCTGATACATAGAGCTTCAAAGATTCAGTAAAGATATGGTATATCACAGATGTGTTGAATATGTTTTCTGTCGGAAGGATAAAAAATACAATTGTTTTGGTTTTACAACTTACTGAAGACCAATTCCATGGTTTTCGGTAATAGTATAGCATCCCACGGCTATCAAGAATAAAGAATCTTCTTTTCCAGTCACCTCTCAAGTTTGAGGAACGTTTTGACAGATACCCTTGTCTGATAGTCTGAACCTGAAGGAAAGTAATATCAACAGATAAATATAAAACAAAACAGTCTAAAGATGTGAGGGCAGTTTGACGAGTAAGCCTCAGTACAAAAGATATATCCTTACCTTTCCTTTTGCAGCAGATTGCATGACAGCCTCTATGACTTTCTGTGAGTTTCTAGAGTTATGTCTCATGCCATCACCTGTTGGAGAACCATTTGAGTTTCTAGTTTCACGATCAACTTGCCTTTGGTACTCCTGCATCCTTTCATTAAGTGATGCCATCTCATAATTTGCACATTCTCTAGACTGGTGTGCATAAGCCAACACCTGCCATAAAATTTCAATTAACCACATATATACCTTATACTATTGCATGGATAAAAAAACTATTTGCTACAGAGAAATCTCTGAAAAAAAAAAAAAAAAAGAATCATGCTGCAAAAAGTATCAGACCTGATTAATAAAAGGCTCCATTTGATGTAGAAGCTCATATCCCTGGAAGAAGGAATTACTCGTGAGAAAGCGAATCAAGTGCTTCATATCAGAAAAGAGGAATAAAAGCCGTTGTATGATAGTTTTCCTTGTAAAACCAAGCTGATTGGCTCCAAGAAAAGAGAATATTTGTCATCTTGCTACTGAAAATTGTTTTTAAGAAAAAGCTTGCCTGTTTGAAGAAACGAAGATGAGCATCCATAGTCCCGCTGACTGCTTCCAAAAACTCAAATCTCTTTTTAGCCTCCGCATTAGAGAGTGCACTAACCTGGCCAGGAAGAAGTAAGCAATCATTATGTACAGTTATATGAGAGAATACCCTGTAAAATATATGTAGCATCTGATACAAAGCGGGTACCAGATGAAATCGGGCTTGTTCAAACGTTGTTCTTGCACTATGTAGGTCCTGGAATGTCTCTCAACTAAGTTAGTTTTTGCTTAAGAAAAATTGAAGATTTCCTGTGACAAGATGTTACCCAAACTTCAAAAAAAGTAAAATAATTTTTACATACCTCCTCAATTGTGGCAGCCACATCCAATCGTGTACTCTTCCTTAATGAAAGATATTTCTCTCGTGCCTGTTTATTTGGATGCACATAAGTAAAAGACATAAGTTTTCAAACTGACAGAATGTTTATGGTAACAACCTGGGAAACCATAATTTTACCCATCAAATGACATATTCTGAAGTCATTCAACGCACCTGGTCATATATAATGGTAGCTTTGTCAAACCGTTTACGAGCTTCCTGCATGATAGAAATAAAAAATGGATATAAGTCAAAGCAATTCAGAGAAAATACTGAACTTAATATCTTATGTGGTTAGCTAATAAGACAAATATACCTTAACTTCGTGGACATCGCCATTCACAAATTGAAGTAACCGGTCATTTAGCATGTGTTCTACCTGAAAAGTGTTGAGAAGACATCATAGTTTAGCTAAGCATCACTTCAGTATCATGATATCAAGTACAAGAAACAAGGTATCATATATGTAGTAAGTTTTGAACAAAAGAAAGAGCCCGATTCAGCAGTCAGATAAATGTTAGGGAATTTACTTCTTTCTAACAACACATAGGCAATGAGTTTCAGTACCTGGGAACGAAGAACTTCCTTGTATGTCCCAATTTCTCGTAGAGCAATGGTGAATTTCGTCATTACGGGACCTAAGCAAATAACATAGTATCTTCAGAAACTAGTCCAAGAAAAGATAAAAAAAAACTGAGGAAAAAAGAGAAAATGATGCAGGATTCAGATATTCCAAAAATTGAGGAACAGTAAAGCATGGCGATGATGTTACCTCCAAAAGCAACACAGATGGGATCATTATGGCCTCCACCAAAAGATTCAAGCGCATTTACAAAGCCAATATCTGCATCATACCCTTCTCCAAGCCCCTCCCTAAAATAACCCAAAGAAAGATCAAAATTTTGGGGGAAAATGAAATCTGAGGTTATGATTAATTCAGTGCTTTTGTGATAGAAATGGTTGTCTCGCTTACGTGTATTTTCTGCATCCTTTATAGAATCTTAAGCATCGCATTCGCAGCAACTCCGCACTCTCTTCCATACATTGCATCTGTTTCACAAACGAGAAAAAAAGTTTGCATAGCCAAAACTTTCATCACCAAACTTTGAAGCAAATTCAAACACACACACAAAAAAACAAAAAAAACAAAAACAAAAAATGTGAAGAAATAAATAGATCATTAGCTAGAAGTCAACTCCTAGATTTTGACGTATAGAGAAAGAACATTCATGAAAAAAGGTGCATCAGAAATCAATCGCCATCAATGGTATGGTATTGACATCGATGACAATGTATATGAAAATAGAGGACATTGTGCGTAGGAAAACCAAATTATGAATAGATCAGAGAATGTAGGTAGAGAGAGAGAGCGTAAAGGAATCTGAGGAAGAAGGAAGAAACAGAGAGGATCGAAACGAAACCTGTTGGCGAAACATGGGGGAATCATCGAGCTTTGAGAAATGCATATCTTGTTCAGCGGGAAAAGCAAGAGACCCAGAACGAAGCTCTCCCTCCTCCTCCTCCACCTCCACCGTCTTCGTCGTCGTCGTCGTCGTCGTCTTGTTCGGAGCTAATTACAGGCGTGTTTTATATAAATTCCCCCCAAAACAAAAAAAAACGTAAAATGTTTTTAGTTTTTGTGTGTTTAGGAAAATAATAAAATCAAAAGCTGGTTTTTGGGGGATTAGGGTTGGTTGAGAGAAGTGCGAAAATGTGCGGAAATTAAGGAGAAAGATCGTGCGATGGATGGAGACCGAAAAAAGAAAAAAAGGCTACTTCGAACTCTCTCTTCTTTGTCGTTGTGGTGATCGTGATCGTGTGCAAACAAAAACCTTAGAAACCTTCCATGGCTGTCATTGTTTCATTTATTTATTTATTTAAGCTATTCAAACCAAAAAAAAAACAAAATTTAGGAAAAGCTTAATAAAAATATTTAACAGATTAACAACACCTATAAAATTATTAGTTTGTCACATCCCAAAATCATTATTAATTTAAGCTAACCCCCCACCACCACTCTGTCTCTGCTTGTTGGAATGAAATGAATAATCTACCTTTTCATCGTTACTTTTAGAAAAAAAAAAAAATCCATAAAAATGGTTGATACATGCTTAAACAAACAACCTTAAAATATATATGAAACTTTGTCCAAAAAAATAAAATAAAATATATATATATATATATATGAAACTCAAAAAAATATGAGATTTTTATGTTCATTTTTCTTCTTCTTTCCCATGTGTATAAGGTACAAACACTTGAGATAATTTTCAGATTGATCGAGTTGATTAGGTATTATGGTGGATGAAATCATTACTAAGGCATTCATAGATTCGTCTGTCCAAATTTAAATTTATATATAACTGAATGAACACAGAGTGTTTATTTACTGCCATTTAATTTATAGGAAAGATGATATCAAAATTAGTAGTACTAGTAGTTGACTTTAATAAAAATTGGAGGACAAGTTCCTAAAACGTGTGACAAACTAAGAACCGTCTTTTGCTTTTTCCCATACCACTAAAATATATCCTAATCGAATGTTTAAGAATGTGGCGTTCATCTTTCCTAATCCCGATTCCATAATATTTAAAGAATGTGACGCCGTAACTATAGAGAGTATTGGACGATCAATTGTCTGTTATTTCCAAAATTTCAAGTCTCGCTAAAAAAAAAAACAAGAACAAAATGTCTAGACTGTAATCCTCTGATAAAAATAGACAAAAATAAATCTCATGATTTTCGTTTCAGAAGCTAAGAGCAACAAGTAGGTTCAGAGTCTGGGTAATTAAACAAAAAAAAGGGGAGACTGAATCAGAGATTCTTTTACGCTTTTGATCCTCCCCAGAAATAACGGCTGATGAGGCCTACCTTCTTCTTCATCCTGTTTTCAATATCTGGGAACTCGATGCAGCTGTAGGCAAGGTCCAGAACTATTGGATTACGCGGTATTGATTGGAATGCAGGTGGGAACCGTTCAATCTTTGCAGTGGTTTTTGTGTTTGAATCCCCAACTGCTGATTCATACACATCCAGTTTGTCTAACAGGTATTTGTCCACCTGGTTTTAACATTTATAATGTAAGAGCATGCAAAAAAAAAAAACACTAGACTGCAAGCAATATATGATTAAGATTCATTGCAGGACTACATTAAAACTCAAAATCTGGAACGCCAATGGAAAGACTTCTGATGATAATTTATGTCCTAATCGCTCAAGAGGATGATGTGCAGAATAAAGCATATGACCAGAAATGACTTGGCTAATCACATTATTCCGGAGTTTCAGACACCAAGGGTATTTATATGGTAGAAGAAATCAACTAGGCATTATGCATAAAATCAGGAATACCATCAGCCACAATTCAAAAGAGCAAGTTAGTGAGATTGTACCTTTGCAGCTGTATCGTTTAGTGATATAGTTGAAATTTGATTTGACAGATTCTCTGGAGCATTCTCTTCCTCCATAATCCCGGCCGCATGCTCTATGCAACTGTTAGCTCTGCATTCTTTGATCAGTGTCTTCAGTTGCTGGATTGTTCCCTGAGCATTATTACAAAACTTGGTCAAAAATTCATATAAAAATTTTCAGTGAAAAGAATATTCAAGATATTCAGTCGGACATGAGGTAACATAGTACTGTATACTGCTATTCAAAATGACTAGGGAAGCCATGTATGAGGTTACCAATAAATGATGAGCTCAATACCTCATCTTTCTTTGCTATGCTTTCAAACTTGTTCAGGGCATCTTCAGCAAGAGATCGAGCACGACAATACAGGGCGAATGCTTCAACCCTCTTTCCTGCTAGACTATATGACTTTGCCAAATAGAAGCACCTGAAAGAGATTTTGGAACATGTCATTAGCAAATCCAGTCAAGGTAAATGAAAACATAGAATGTATCAGTACATATGCGGAAAGAACAACGTAATATGGAATGAAATAAGTGGTTATAATGAAGAACAAGGTGTAGTCAAAGACTGACCATGAAACTGATTCCTAATTTAGTTAATAAATTTTACTAATATTTCATATAGCTAGGGCTTAGATAAAGGGCTCAAGAGGAGCTTAACTCTAACAAAAGGTGCTAAAATCAAGTGAATCGTCACGGATAGTAAAATAACGTGAATTGTAAAGGAAATCCACATCTCAATAGCAACCGCCCTAATAAGAAATACAGTAATGTGAGAGCATTAAACCTTTCAGCACGGAAGGCCAAGCTTTGGCGCTGACACTCTTCTTCAAAGGCAATTTCTTCAGGTTTCCTGTCTCTTCCAGAACTAATGAGATCAGAAAGATCAGCGACATTCTGAGAAAAAAAGAAACACAGGTGACATCTCTCGCTGGTATAACAAACAAAATCTGCTTCTAAAGAAAAAAAAGAGGTGAACGGTGGTTACCTGTAATAGAAGGTCATACAATCGAACAAGCTCTTCAGGCCTAGTAACCTTTTCACTTTTATCATCACGTTTCCTGTTCAGTTTACTCTTTGCTATTTTAACCAACAACTGGTTCCTTTCAATGGTTCTCTGTCCTAGCACAGCTCCAACAGCTTTGTCCAAACCATTTAGGTCATCTTTAACAGATTCAGCATTTCCTGCACTTACCTAAAAATAGTATGCTCCTCCGTTAAATCAATCAGAAAACAGAAATGCAACAGAAAAACAGACGCTCTTACTCTTTGGAATGAACAAACTTGTCTGCACCTTCAAAAATCATGAGAAAGGTAAACCTTTTCGGTGAACCCAGTTAATATATCAGAAGATGTCTTGTAAATTCACTCACCAAGTCACTGCGTATGGTGTTCCTGGCATCTTGATATGCAGTGAATAATTTATCAAAAATTGTTAACTTTTTCTCTGCAGGGATGGATTCTGCTGTCGGACCCTGTAGCTCCTTCTCAAGTTCCTGGGCTGGAACAAAGAATAAGACCCTCAGATAGGTGCCCAACATTCTATAAATTATCTTAATAGGCTAACGCATGGCAGTAACCCCATTGTCAAGGTAAACCAATTTTTCAATATCTAGGACTATGCTACTAGTCCAATTTTTCAGCACAATTCAGTAATTCTTAAAGAGGGGATAAGGAAAAAGGTAGTCGAACCTTTTAAAATGGAAACCCGAGATTTTGGGTTGGAAACTGGAAATCTATAGCCAAGCCAATTAAACTCTGTAAGAGATGCAGCTTGTTGAGATCTGGCCTCTTCCATAGCAGCCTACGTGACAGTGAGTATATACATCATAATTAATAGACCAAAATGTGTGAGGGAGGGAGCTGAGAAATAGTTCGTCACTAAATGTTTAAACCATTGCAAGACATTCAAGAGTAGCCAAGATCATACACATGTAATACTTTTTTCATGTGTGTTGCTCAGGTCAAAAGCGAAACTCTAAGTTCCCAACAACAGATGAAAAAACTAACAGACCAAAACTTTCTGCTGCAGATCATTAAAACATACAGATACAGTTACTCACTTGCTTTGATGGGGACGCTGATAGAAAAATAATATCTTTGACCATGCATATTAATACATACCTCTATTTTTGCTTTGAAAAGATCCAACGCAGGGCCTTCCATCTCACCAATCTGAAGAAGTTCAGATGTCTGCAAGTTTGACTTGCCAATTTTGTGTAGGCAGTATCGAATACTAGGCTCAAGCTCCTCAACCCGTTCCCGGCAAAGAACTTGGTTCTCTAGATCTCCATATTTTCCAAGTTCCTCATAAACAGCTCTGCCACAGGGGATTCAGAAACAATATCTACTAAATTGCTAAATGACCATTTGGGAAAAAATACAAACCTGGCGTTTTTGAAACATGCCAACCCAGATTCCCAATTTTGATCTTGCTCAAAAAACAGGGTACCTTTCATATAGGATGCATATGCCTATAAAACAGTAAAACAAAGTATGATAGACTCATGTCAAGCGTTTATAGAGTAAACACACGTTTTATATAAAACAACTATGCTAAAAGTCAAACACTGAGGTATTATCTTCTTCCTTTCAAAGCAGTAGTTATGTTGTATGTAAATTTATGAATAATGCAACACCTGGGGTCACAGAAATACCTCAGCTTCCAGAGATGTCCTGGAATCTGTCTTAATAGAGCACAAACTTGAGAAAAGGGAAGCCCATTTAACTGCCTTCCTCAGCCTACCAATCAAATATATCCGTTGCCGTGCATTAGGTCCATCTGGCAGCTGTCTTTTTTCCATTGCATGGCTCCATGCTCTTTCAGCCATATAGAAAACCACATGAAGGAACCTATTACAAATTAAGACATAGACATTAACTCAATTATGAGAAAGACAAAATAAGTTATTAATTTCTAGTGGAAGTAACAACTGAGCCATTACATTCTTCCTATATGGTTCAGCTAAACACAAAATCACACTGAGCCAACAAAAACTTTAGCTTGGAAGGAATAAGGATGAGAGCAAGATAGATACCTAACATCTGTGACAGTTGATTCAAGTATGGCTCGCCGAGTGTATTTACCACGGCCATGAGTGAATTTCAAGGACTTGTATAACCTCCTCAACCGTGCAGAGCAATACCTCCTACACAACAAAATAACACAGATTACCGAAAATGACCTAAATTTATGAAAATCGCAAGTAGGCCAATGAAATTAGGATTTCGTATTGATACCGATAGCGAGCATAGTCACCATGACGCAGACCATGCTGAGCCTGAGAAGATTTCATCAGCTGCAGAACTGAAAAGCCAAATGCAACATAGGTTAAAAAAACTAGAAGACTTGTATGGTTGATATAAAATTCACAGCCATGCCCTCGATAAATTATGATTGAAGGAATCAAACAGTGGTAAATCTCGAGATTCCCCCAAACAAAATTCCCAA